AGCCCAGACTGGAGATGCCATGGGGCCCAAGGGGACCTGTTATAGCAGAGGGAGGGAGAATGAAGCTCACCTTCCCACCCCCCAGTCCTGGCCTTGCCTCAGGCCCAGAGCCCTCTGGTACACTTGGAGATTGGGGGCCTGAGGGGACAGCTGGTCCAGCCCCTACTGTACAGATGGTAAAGAGGCTCAGAGACTAGCCCTTTGTCTCCTGGGCCCCTCTTTCCAAAGCCCTGGGCTCCTGAGATGGGGTCCTCGTCCCTGAAAAAAGCGTGATGTGGGAACTTGGCCACCTTTACAACCCCTGGGAGCCTCAGTGTCCCCATCTGGAAAATGGGAGCTTCTGTCTGATCACCGCCTCCCCCGCTCCCCAACTGTAGGTGGGGCAGCGCTGGAGAATGGACAACCTCATTCCACTGGTCACCCTCCCGCATGACCCTTCCCTTTGGGCCTAGAGGCAAAGGTCCACCCACAGTGTCCCTGCTGTGTGTCCTGTGTTCCCAGCCCTCTCAGGCCCCACCGCTGTGTGTGGAGGAGGCTGTAGGAGGGAGGGAAGGAAGTACAAAGCACCATTGTCCACCAGGGGGAAAGGGAAGGGGATGGGGCGGTTTCCGAAACTGCCCAGTGAAATTCTCCCGGGAGGAAAGAGGGCGCTTCCTCCTCCTGGGGGGCCGGGCCTCCGGGTACTTCCAGCCCTCGCTGCCGGGGGCGTCTAACAGGCCCTGGCGTCTCCCCACCGGCACAATGGAGGAGACTTCCCAGGCCTTCGCTCTGTCCCAGCTCCTCCAGATGGGGGACCGGCCGGCAGTGGAGCGAGGCCTCGCCAGGGGGCGCTGAAGGCCCGCAGGCCCCCTCCCGCGGCCCCGCCCACGCCGCGCGCGCTGGGCGCAGAGTGGGTGCCAGACGGGAAAGCCGCCGCCGCCGCCTTCCTTAAGGTCCTCGGCTACAGAGCGCAAAGCGAGGTTCACAGCACTTAAGAAGCTACCCCGGGTCACCCAGCTAGTGAGTGTCGCAGCCGGAACTCGAACCTGGGCCCGAGGCAGGGGGCGTCCCCGATGTGGCGGAGGGGCGCGCGGCGTGCACGTCCCCAGGTGCCCCCGTCCCGCGCAGCCCCCCGCCCCGTCCTCAGGAATGTGCGGGAGCCGAGGCAGGAAGCGGCTACCGGGTCCCCGAATCTGCCCGACGCTGGGGCGCGGGCCAGCTTTCCCTTATAAGGTCCGGCCCCGCGGGGAGGAGCCCGGCTCAGGGCGCCCCCGTTCCTGCCACGAGGCCGGCGGGGGCCGGGACGGCGCGGGCCGGGAGCTTCGGCAGCGCCCGGGCGCAGTAATGGCGGGCGCCCGGTGGCGGAGGAACCAGTCCCTGGGTGGGAAAGACCTTGGGTGGCTTCGTGGTCTCGTTAGTCTTTTCCCAAAGAGGAGGGCAGGGGCAGGCTGACTCTCTAGTCTGGCTTCTTTGAATCCTTTTTCCAGCGCCCAAACCCCATATGAGGGTGGGGGATGGCAGCTGGAGAACCCTGAGCCTCAGAATGAACCCCTAGAGATGGGGATGCGCAGAGACCTGGCTTTCTCTCTAGAACGTTCTGCCGCTGTTACCCGCATTAGGATTCTGACCTCCTCAAGGGAGGTCGCGCTGACGTGGTGGGAACTCTTGGAAACGCATCCCCTCCAGGCTGCACACAGCCGGCTGTGGCGGTGGCAGACAGAGTCTCAGGTGCTGGTCGGAGGGCACACAGGCTGAGTGCCTTGGGTAGGCCGCCTGGTGACTGGGCTGGGCTGGCTGGCTCCAGCTCCTGCCTCCAGAGGAATGGTATGGGGGTGGGGTGGGTCACTTGCCTTCTCCTAGGGAAGGTAAATCTTTAATTTCCCCCTTGGACAAGGGTCAGGGGCTGGTGTTTGGGGCTCTGGCCCCTCCTCCAGTTCAGCTACTCCGTGTCCTTGCTGGTGGGCAAGTGCCTGCCCTTGTTGTGTTGCTTCATTGCCTCTCTGCGCGTGGTGGTGATGGGGGGGGGGGGGGGGGCATTAGATAGGACGCTCAAGAAGCAGCTGAAGAAAGGGGATAGAGTGGCCCCATCCTTCTTTCCCCTGAAGATCTGGGCCCATGCCTTGTTTCGTCCCCATGCCAACTCTAGGACCACAAATCCCCCCTCCCATTTTATAGGTAAAGAAACTGAGGCTCAGAGTGGAAAGACGACAGACGGAAGTCACAGAGCTCATAAGGGCCCCCAAGGCCTGTCTCTCTCTATGGGCTCTTCCGACCTTGACTTTCCCAGGACTCTTGGTCCCCCATGTCCCCCTTTGGGATTGTTTGGATCCTGGCACACCCTCTTCCTAGCTCGGTGCCCTTGGGCAGAGGATTTCATCTCTCTGAGCCACAGTGTCCTCCTGGCTCTTGGAACTGCTGTGACCATTCTATGAGATGGTGTGTCCAGCACCAAGCCTGCCCCCTGCTGTGCCCTAGCATTGTTAATCATTGCTGCTACTATTATCATTGGGCCAGCCTCCAGGGGTGGGTGCTGCCCAGGCTGTTGCTTGGGAGAGGCAAATCCAGCCTCCCCACACCTGTGGCTGCACATGGGCGAGTCCTCAGCAGTTACTGTTTAAACAGGTGGTGGCACTGGGGGGCTGGGAGGGACTAGGCCTCAGCACCTGCCATGGACAAGCACATGCCACCCGTGCCCCTGCATCAGCCACTGGGAACAGACCTAACCCTGTTCCTCTGAGCCTTCCTCCTGCCCCCTCCGCCATCACCTCCTCTTGTCAGCTGAGAGGTAGCCTGGACAGGCCCTGCCTCTCTGGCTTGCCTGTTGTCACAGTAGGGATGATAGGGCCACTTACCAGCTTCCGCAGGGCTCCCTCATCCAGCCCAGCTAAGGCCTCGTCTGCCATCTCGCTGGCCCCTAGCTCCGTCAGTCCCCTCTTGGTGAGATTCCCAGTGCCCGTAGCACCTGATACCAGCTCAGGGAATTCTGCAGGGGATAGACATGAATCAGGCCTGCTGGGACCTCTAGAAACTCTGGGCACTTGGGCTCCGTGTCTCAGTTTCCCCCTCTAACCCATGGTCATCCATTGGTGTCCCGTCCTTGCTACCTGTGATGTGGCTCCTGGCTGGGAGTTGCCCTCTGCCCTAGGGTAGTGTGCTGGAAAATTAAACAAACCAAAGTAGGAGTGCCTGGTTCCAGCCCAGCCAACCCGACTGCCAGCCCGCTGTGTGGCCTAAACTGGGCCCTCACCCTGTTTAAGCATCAAACAGGGAGGGTCAGGACCTAGATTGAGAAGCCTGAGCCCAGCAAGGCTCCCCCAAGCTGTGCTCACCACCAGGGGGTGCCCGCCAGACTCCACAGTTTCCTGCCCCACCCACCCATCCCCAGGGCCTGTCCAGCTCCCACCCACCCCAAAAGTTCAGCCTCTGGCTGTGAGCTGAGCTGCCACTGCCTCTCTCGTTTTCCCAGGTGACTTAAGCCATCGGAGGTAACTGTCTTCCAGTTCTTGAGAAGAGCACTTTGTACACATCCCTCTCCACTCCTCTCTTTCCTGCCCTCCCCCTGATGCCAACTGCCCTGACCTCATGAAGCCAGGTGTCCAGGCACCTAAGTGTGCCACTTCACACACTTAGAATTCAATTCCCTAGCTGGTAGGGCCTTCAGAAGCTGACTCGTCCAAGCTCTGGACTTAAGCACACTGAGGATTGGAGAGGGATTTGTCACAGAGGGAAGAAGGATCCCAAAGACCCAGAGGGCAGGGATAGATTTAATCAAACTTTTGGCTGCCTCTGGCTTCTGAAGCCCCCTTGCCCCATCACTCCCTCTTGCCTCATCACTGACCATAAACATGGCCCCCTAAATCCTGGCCCAGCCTCCTAGTGCAGCTCTTCCCTTCCTCTGCAGCCCTAATGTCTTTCTGGAATTTGAGGGCCCACTGCCTGACACACCATAGGTGCTTAGTTAATGTATGGTGACTGAAATGGCCCCAGGATTGCCCTCTCTCCTATTGATTCATCCCTCAGTCATCCCTTCCCCTTCCCCAGAACGGTCACTTGTCGCATCACCTCATCCGGTGAATGGGTCTGGGGGGATCCTAATCCACACAGTTGGGGTTTGTCAGACCCTGTCTGTTCAAGTCGCTGCTTGCTTTTCCCATCCCACTAGGCTGGGGCAGGTGTCAACCTCCCGACCTACCTCTGTTGGGCTCCTTGGCTCTTATCTACCTACTTTGAGATACCCGCCCCCCCCCCCCCCCCCCCCCCTAAGAGTGTCATCCAGCAATCATCAGACTTAGGTTCTGTGGACACTCATATTCCCCCATGTGTTCTGAGGGGCAGGGGTCCCTAATGCGCAAGCTAGGATGTCCAGGGGGCTGTGGGAAGCCTCTTTCTCCTCAGGGATTCCCGCTGCTGCCCCATTCCAGTCCATGGCTCCCTGTCACACAGTCTGGAGTCCCCAGAGATTGTGAGAGGCCTCAGAGGAATGTGGGAGCTTCCCCAGGGTGTCTGCCCCCATAGACTAGCGACCCTGGGGATCGTGAAGCCTCCTGGAGGTCCGTGGGCGTCCTCTCCCGCGGTCTCAGAACCTTGTCCCATGGCTTAGAGCGCCTGTGCCTGGGTGGGGGATCCTAGGTTTGGGAGTCCCAGAACCCACGTCCAGATAGCTGAGTTCCACCGCGGGACCCGTCGGGGGTCCTGGCGCTGCCTAGAGGCCCGCACACCCACCTCTCAGTCTGGCTCGCCCGTCCGGCGGGGGCTCAAGTTAGGTCACTTGGGGTCCGACAGATGGAGTAGGAACGGTCAGGCGGAAGGCGCCGCGACCAGGATCCCAGGCCGGCTCAGCAACCGTCCTCCGGATTCTGCTAGCGCCGCCCGTCCAGCGGCGCCAGCAGACTCGCCGGCCCCGCCGGCCCCACCCCGCGCCGCCGTGCCAGCCAGTCTTCGGGAGGGTCCCGCCCACCCTTGTGCCCCATTGGGGAAATTCAATTTGGTGGCCACGCCCCCGCGGGAGGCTACGCCCCTTGTGGGCCGGGGTTGTAGGGGATTGTAGGCTGGGGGCCACTGCCGCCTGGGCCTTTGGTGGTCCGGAGGGCATCGGCAGGAGGACGTAGCTTTGCGCCAAAGCTGGGGTAAGTGGCCCGGGGTCGTCCGAGTCGCAGAGCTTTCAGGACAGTCCCTCTCCGCCTCCCTCTTTGTTCGTAAGACCGTGTCCCCTCCCCCGACTCCGCCCCCTCCTCACGTCAGTGCCTGGGTTTGGCCGGCGCCCCCAGGCTGCTTTCGGGACACCTGGTCTGGGCCACCTACCTCAGAGCAGGGACTAAGTGACTGGCAGCACCTTGACCCTATGTTGGAGAATCTCAGGGCCCATCTCAGATAAAGCAGGATCAATCATGTAACACATCTCCAGCTGACACACCTTTGCACAGACATTGGCTCATCCGTCATGCTTCTCCCTTCCAAGCCCTTCAGGGTCAGCATTTAGGAGCACCAGAGTCCTAAATAGGGAGTAGAGTCCGGACTTTCACTCAACAAATGGAGGAAATTGAGGCCCAGAGAGAGCCAACATGCCCAAGACAACACAAGGAGTCAGCCACGGGACCCAAGAGCTCAGACTCACTAGGGAAAGCCGCTCCACCTCCCGCGCTGGAGGTCAGGGAGCCCCCCACAGGTCTCCATGGAGACCAAAGGGAGTTGGAGCCTGGGAGGTGGGGTCTGGAGCCCTGTCTGTCAAATAAAAACAATAATACTATCAACTCGTTTATTTTATACTTGCCATGTACCAGGCATATAATCTCTATAACAACCGTTTGAGCCGAGGATTACTGTCTCACTTTATAGATAAGGACAAGAGCTGATAAGTACTGGAACTGTGACTCATACCAGCACCTTTTAAGTCCAGAATCTGTGCTTTTGGCCGCTATGATGTGAGGTGGTGGGGAAGTGGTTTCAGCCTGTTGCCCCAGCAGAGCCTCTCAGTCCTTCAGTCCAGATCCTCTGTGACCGCCCACTCACCCCACCTCACCGCCATTTGGAGAGAGAGCCCCATCCACTCCAAGACTCTTAAAGGTGTCATTTCATTCCTACATCCCTGAGAGATGGTCCCATTTTACACGTGGGAAAACCAAGGCGCAGAGAGAGAAGAGACTTCTTAAGGGCACACAGGAGGAGGAACGAACAGAACCTAGTTTGCAGATAATAGTTCAAGGTCCCTTTCTGCTGGGCAGACCCCATCTAGGTCCTCTCTACTTCACCTAGGCACTATCTCATTCTCCAGAACGAGGGTCGGCACCCTTCAAGGCCGAGTCGGTCCTACTTCAAACCTCGCGCGTCTCTTGGAACGGCCCCTTGGGGTGGGGCACACCTGGGCTTCCTGCGATTCTCAGGGCCTGCCTGAGTGGCGGCTGTCGGCTCCAATGAATGGCTTGCTTCGTGCTATCTCCGCCCTCGCAGGCTGGGAGGAACCGCACAGGTGAATCTGTGCGTGCGGACTTACTGTAACGCGCACGCGCTAGGAGTTCTTAGCGGCCCCGGAAGAGATGTATGGGTCTCTCCCCGCCGTCAAACCTTTGGGGCTGGGGTGCTCCTCCAGAGCTGCCTGTCTGCCTCTTTCCCTTCCTCCCTGCAAGGGGCGAGGCAGGATGGTGGTGGTGGTGAAACAAAGATCAAAGGGCAGCCGGGTGGTCCTGGGGAAGCTTGCAGCCACAGCCCAGGAAGGAGTAAACATCCCCGGGGGGGGGGGGGGTCGTAGTATTTACTGCCTGTTGTATGTCAGACACGGGATTTACCCTATTGCAGGTTGAGCACTGTGCCAGATAAGTATTATCAGGATCAGGAGGAAGCTGAAGCACAGGGAGGTGAAAGCACCTTGGGCTGGTAATTGCATTCAAACTTGAGTGGAATTCTGCCCCATTCTCAGAGGAGGTGATGTGCAAACTGATCCTTGAGGAAGGGTGCAAAGAAATCCATCTCACAGAGAGGGGGGAAAAGCATGAAAATGCGTTCCTGGCAGGGGGACAGAATGAGTAAAGGCTGGGAGATTTGTAAAGAGGAGAGATGGGCTGTGGATAGCAGGAGATGGAGATGGAGGTGGTCCCATCTGTGAAGGGCCCTGAATGCCAGACAAGCAGGGTGAACATACCGTGTGGGCACTGGGGAGGCCTGGGCCTCAGTTTCTGCATCTGTGAAATGAGGGGATTGGACTGGCCCCCTTCAGGCCTGACCACGGTAAGGGACTAACAGGAAGGGTCTGGATTCCTCCAGGTCCCACTGTGGACTGGGAGAGTGGAGAGCAGTTGGAGCAGCTCAGGGGCCAAGGGTAATATTGTGCTCCAGTGCCGGAGTCTGAGAATAAATATTTTACCAAGCTGGCAGCGCCAGATCCCTGAATCACCCTGGCTTCCCCTCCCCCCCAGCCAGGGTCCTGCAGGGAAAGCCCAGGCCTGGGGTCAGGAGGCAAGAGGGGTGATGGTCTTTGCCCTGGCTCTGTCCCGGGCAAAGTTTTGGTTCTCTGAGAGGCTCAGTTTCCTCATGTGCACATGGGGGAGTTGTGGCCTGAGCTCTTAAGCCCTGGCCCCCAGACTAAAACAACATAAAATTCCAGGATTTGCAGGGACACCCCTCCTTGGGATATGCTTACAAGTGGCTGTGAGGCCAGCCAAGGCCAAGACCTTGGGCCTCTGAGAGAGTCCGGGGGCCGCTGGACCATGGGAGGGATGGAGGGGTTAGAGATGGGTCAGGGTTGGGCCTTCTGTTGGGGTCTCATAGCCTAGTGGGAGTAGGGGGAGAGATGTATCTGGACTCTAAAAGTTGTAGAGAACAAAGCTCTCACTTGCTGTTTGGCATGCTGAGGGGATGGGGAAAGGCAACCTGGAGAAGGGAACAGCATGAGCAAAGGAAGGGAGGTAGGACTGTGAGCACTTGGTTGGGGAAAAGTCAGGCAGGCGAGGCTGGAGCATGGGGTCCCTAGAGGAGGAGAACAGGTTCTTGCTGGGTTGGCTGGATCTAAGGGCTGTGACCCTCCTCCTCATGGGCAGAACTGGAGGCCCCTCAAGGTCATGGCCAGCAGCCCCAGGAGTGGAGCTGGGGACCTGTTTAGCAAACCAGTTTGGCAAGGCTGTCTCCTCTATGATGTCATCAAGCTGCTGTGTTCTCTAAATGACAGTGCCAGATAGACTTCCGGCCTTGGAGAAGAAGGGGGCCTGGCCCCAGGTGCTGAGGGATGGGAAAGGAGTGACCTTTCAATGTAGGAAAGTTGGAGGCAAGTGGGCCCTGGGGAGGAGAAGGCGGTGTGAGATGCCTACCAGGCTGTTATCAGCCCCAGGAGACCAGCCTCCTGGGCAAAGGAGAGGGTTCTGGATGGGCCAGCCTGGACTACTTGTGACTTCTAGGGTTCTCTGATGCCTGACATCGTCTAGGCTCATGACAGGGGTCCTGTGTAATTGCTGCCCAGTGGGTTGGGAGCCTGGCTCCAGATCAACTTTTTAATACATGGGTGGTGATTTTATTATTACCATGACCCTCACAGCTTGAGCCCTGTGAGGTAGGACCATCATTATACAGATGAGCAGACAGGCTTAGCGAGGCCAAGCCATGCCAGCACCTCACACAGGATTTGAACCCAGAACCCTGTTCTTTTTTTTTTTTGGTGAGGAAGAGTGGCCCTGAGCTAACATCTATGCCAATCTTCTTCTATTTTGTATGTGGGATGCCGCCAAAGCATGGCTTGATGAATGGTGTGTAGGTCCACGCCCGGGATCTGAACCTGTGAACCCTGGGCCGCCGAAGTGGAGTGTACTAACTTAACCACAACGCCACCAGGCCAGCCCCTCCAGAACCCTGTTCTTAACTATGGTACCCTACCATCTGCCATTTGAGATCTCTGCCCATGGGGGGCCTTGTCATATTTCTTAACTAGTTGTGAGCACAGCAGCTGAATCTTGGCATCACAGAGTCCTAGATGCCCATCCTGTGGTCCAAATAGGTAATCTGAGTCCCAGAGAGGGCAAGGGACAGGCTTCAGGTCACACAGCACGTTGACGGTAGAGCCATTCTGTGCCCCAGATCCCCAGCCTCCCAAATTCCTTTTTCCCCCTCAGAGCGTGGCACACCCAAGCATGAAATAACAATAACTGACACCTTTTGAGTGCCTACTGTGTGCCACTCACTCATTTAATCATCATCACACCCCCATGAGGTAGGTACTAAAATTATATCCATTTTACGGATAAAGAAACTGAGGCCAGAGAGGGGAAGTCACTTGTCCAAGTTGACACAGCATTTTGGTGGTAGGGCTGAGATCTGAACCTAGATGTGTGGGCCTTTTTCCCTTGGTGGACCCGGTAGGCTTCATCGGAGGCATGAAGACCTCTAGACAGGAGGGCGGATGGCACCTTTGCAGGCTTCGGAGGCGAGCAGTGTCCAGTTCATAGTTTCCAGGCGGGCCTGGCCTCCCTGGGGCAGGCAGAAAAGTGCTGAGACTGGGAAACGCTCTGAACCTTCCCAGAGGAGGCGGCCACGGTGGGAGGGAGCGCTCGGTGCAGACTTCAGAGCCAAGTGTAGACGTGGCGGCTGGACCCGCTGCAGGCGAGGGAGGGCAGGCGGGTGGGGCCCAAGCCCGAACTGGCCTCCCAGCAGTATTCCCAGCCATCCGCCAGCCAGGCCCGGCCCTGCCCGCCCTTCTAGCTCGCCATCTGGATTTGAGATGAAGACGCTGGGCCTAATAATAGCTGAATGGCAGCAAAGGCAATGCCTGGAGCCACAGCCAGAGGGGGGCTGGGGTCCCTCATCATCTCGTGCTGGCCTGGTACAGGTTTCAGAACTTTTAAAATAATAGCAGGTGCTTATGAAATGCATACGCGTGCCAGGCATTGTGCTAAGGCTTAGCCCACAGTAACTCATGTATTCCTCACGACCACCCCAATGAGATAAAACTGTTATTAGCCCCATTTGATGGATAGAGAAACTGAGGCACAGAGAGTTAAGCAACTTGCCCGTGATGATTATGGCAGCCTCCAATTGCTAAGCACACACATGTCCATCCTGAGCACTGTGCTAAGCACTTTCTGTGTATTTTCCTATCTGAGAAAAATACAGGAGGCATTATAGGCAGCTCATCATTTATTTAGATGAG